CAGAAAACAAACAACTGTTGCTATTTCAACAGCGGAAGCAGAGTTTATTGCTTTATCTGAATTGTGTTCTGAAGTAACATGGTATGTACAGTTGTTGCAAGATTTAAATATTAATGTAAAAGAATCTGTAAAGGTATTTGAAGACAATGCTGCCTGTATAAAAATGGCAACTGGTGACAGGGTGAAGAACAGAAGTAAATATGTAGACATTAAGTATTGTAATGTCAGGGAAGCTGTAAAAGGAAAATTGATTAGTTTATATCATTGTTCTTCTGAGAATAATTTGGCAGACATAATGACTAAACCATTGGGTTGTGTTCACTATGGAAAATGTATTGAGTCAATAGGTCTGATGTCTCTTCCTGTCATGAAGGGAGGAGTGTTGGAATATTCATGAGCAGGAAGAGTCATGTGGTAACTCAGTCAGCCAATGTGAAGAAAGTCCTACTGAGTCTGTGCAAAAGGTTATTGAGTTAGAAGCTGGATTTTGTTTGTTTCAGTTTCAGTCTCAGGTCTGTCTCTGCTGTAAGAAGTCTACATTGTGTTATCTTGCTGTAAAGAAGAATGTATGGTATTGTAAATATTTTGCTATGAATATAAAGAGTTTATTTGAATCAGCTAAATGCAGTAAACTGTGAGAACTTTTGATTTATTTTCACCAATAGAGAAATTAAAATTCTCTAACAAATACGGCTGCGACATCCCAAATAACCGGGCCAGGATTCACATCATGCAAGCAGCCCTGGACCGGGTGGTAGACCTCCATGACTCGGACATGCCTGAGCTATTAAACTTTAACCAGTTCATGGTCTCCCTCTGGTGCTGGTTTGAAGACCCTTTAGCTGATTGGAAGGCATGGGAGCAGATAAAGATGATGAGGCAGAGCAAGCGGCCGGTAGCGGAATACACCCAAGAATTCCAGGCCCTGGCCAGCAAGTTGAATTTTCCGGAGAACATCCTGCTCAGCCACTTCAAGGATGGGTTGAACTACAATCTGTATGATGCCTGCCTTCCCCGGGGAGATCCCCACCGGCTACAAGATTAGTACGTCTTAGCGGAGGAAGCCGAAATTGACCTGCTAAAGAGGCAATGCCAAGGGGGTAGATCGTGGGGGAAATCGCCCTCAGAATCAACTTGCGCAATGGCAAAGCCATCACTTGTGACCAGGAAAACCTCAGGGTATTTCAAATGCAGTAAAGAGAGGCATCGTGCAGCCAAGTGTCATTCATGCACCCCAACCCGAAAGCCTGACCAAGCTCCAACTGGAAAATCTGGGAAAACACCAGCAAAGCTGAAGGAGACAGCCATGAAAGGAGCTGAAATTGTTGAGTTCCCAGCCTCAGCCAAATGAGGGAAGAGAACTCCAACCAACCCAGGAGGGATATCCAACTCATCCGACAACTCGGAGGACAAACCCTTGGTAAGTGGACCCATCATGCCCCTTACCCGGACAGTAGAACTGCTAGCCCCAGGCATGTCCGAGGAGGTGGAAGTCAGGGCACTAATTGATTCTGGTTGCACCTGTTGCCTTAATCAGCCCAACCCTAGTGGGGACTTTAGAAACACCGGCGAGGAGGCTGAAGAAACTGATCTCGTTCAGTCAATTAGATGGGTCCATAGCAGGGGGGATGCCTGCCATGCTGGGAACATTGCCACTTCAACTGACCCTAGGAGACCATGTAGAGACTATAATGTTCGTGGTAACTCCTGGCATGGAATGCCCCCTAATCATGGGCATGGCGTGGCTAAAAAAATGAAATTCACGGGTGGACTGGAGAACAGCTGAGCTCAGATTCCCAAAGGAGAATCCAACCAAAGCATCAACTCAATCCCCAACCAGCACAACCCCAGCTGAAAGAGTGGCGATAGGGGAGGAGAAAGAATTACCCAAGATACCGGAGGAGTATAGAGACCTGGCGGAAGTATTCAGTGAGGAAAGATCGGACGAACTGCCCCCTCACCGGCCCACAGACTGCACAATAGAAATCCAGCTGGGGGCAAAACTCCCCAAACTAAAATTGTATTCCATGAGCCCACAAGAGCTAGAGGAAATGCAAAAGTTCATAGATAAAAATTTAGAGAGAGGTTTTATTCAGCCAGCAAAGCCGAAAACCGCAGCCCCTGTACTTTTCCAAGAAAAGAAAGATGGGATGCTTCATCTCTGCGTAGACTATAGAGCTCTGAATGCAGTGAGTGAAAACAATCTATACCCGCTTCCCCTCATGAAAGACATGCTGTCCAACTATCAAAGGGGAAAATTTTCACAAAATTAGACCTGAAGGAAGCCTATTACCGAATCAGAATAAAGGAAGGGAACGAATGGAAAACTGCTTTCAACTGCCCCTTCGGGTGCTACCAATTTCAAGTCCTACCTTTCGGACTACAGGGAGCACCCGCAGTCTTCATGCACTTAATAAATGACGTGCTGAGGGAGGACCTGTACAAAGGGGTTCTTGTTTACCTAGTTGACATCCTTATCTTCACAGAGACCATAGACAAATATGTTAAACTGGTTAGAGCAGTACTCAAAAAATTCTGGGCAGCTCACCTCTATGCCAAACTATCAAAATGTGAATTCCATAAGGAGAGAATAGACTATTTGGGGTACCGCATATCACCTGAGGGCATAGAAATGGACCCTGAGAAGGTCCAAGCAGTCTTAGAATGGGCTCCAGGGCAGGTCTGGCTCTGAGAATCAGCCTCTGACAGTGGGCGAGGGGTGTCTCAAATTAGTGGATGTCTTCCACCTGGTTCCAGGAAGAAATGGGCCCATTGTACTCCAAGCATGATAGATTATACAGAATATAGAATAACAGAATTGGAAGGGACCTTGGAGGTCTTCTAGTCCAACCCGCTGCTCAAGCAGGAGACTTTACACCATTCCAGACAAATGGGTGTCCAATCTCTTCTTGAAAACCTCCAGTGATGGAGCATCCACAGTTTCTGGAGGCAGGTCTTTCCACTGATAAATTGTTCTTGCTGTCAGGAAATTTTTCTCTAGTTCCAGGTTGGATCTCCCTTTAATGATCTTCCATCCACCACTTCTTGTCCTGCCCTCAGGTGCTTTGGAGAATAGATTGATCTGCTCTTCTATGTGACAGCCCCTCAAACATTTAAATTTTATACTAATAATATTCTTACCCAAAAATAGGTTGTAGTCTACTTTGTCAAATGCCATACTGAAGTCCAAGTATACTATTGTCAGAAACCATTTATATTTCATTTCTATCTATCTCCTCTGATCTAAAACCAAATCTCACCTTCCCCTGGATTCTGCCATACTCCCAAGGGGGAAGGGGGGGATATGCTTGCGCGGTTATGACTTTCACTTCCTCTATTCGCTCCAATGTAACCTTTTGTTTATATGCTTGCTGGCTCTACTGCCCATTACAATGTAACAAATTGCCTCCTGCACCTCCTTCAGAGAGATCTCTGAATCTTCTTCTCTCTAACCTGGCAGGGAAGAAATGCAAACATCCAGAACCTGGCTTATTTCTCCAGTCTCAAAGGGAGGTGTGAAGAGCTGTGGAACATTGTATTACAAATGGAGCTGGACTGATGTTATCTTCCTTTTCCCACGATGGACTTAACACCTGGGGATTGGGCGGTCTGAACTGTCTGGATGAACAATGGGGTGGGGTTTGCTTAGGGACCCTTTAAAGTATCGATCTGTAAAGAATCCCTCAGATCCTGTCTATTATGCCTACTATCAACTACTCTTAATAAAAGTTTCTGTTGGAACAAATTGTTTCCAAGAGTTCTGCTTTCTTAAGATGTGGGATTGAAGTGGGTCCTTACAACTATGTCCACAGGAATAATGGGAGACTTTAACTACCCTTATATCAACTGGAAGACAGACTCTGCAGCAAATGGGAGATCAAATAGATTCCTAACCAACCTAGCTGACAACTTTGTCATCCAAAAGGTAGAGGAGGGAACTAGAGGAAAAGCTATACTGGCCCTCAATCAGAATAGAGTTGGAAGGAACCTTGGAGGTCTTCTAGTCCATTCCGCTGCTCAAGCGGGAGAACCTGTACCATTTCAGACAGGTGGGTGTCTAATCTCTTCTTAAAAACCTCCAGTAATGAAGCACCCACAACTTCTGACTGCAAGCTGTTCCACTGGTTAATTGTCCTCACTGTTAGGCAGATTCTCCTTAATTCCAGGTTGCTTCTCTCCTTGATTAGTTTCCATCCATTGTTTCTTGTCCTGCCTTCAGGTGCTTTGGCGAATATTTTGAAAACCCCTCCTCTTCTTTGTGTCAGCGCTCAAATTCTGGAATACTGTTATCATGTCACCCCTAGTCCTTTTTTTCTGTAGACTGGCCATTCCAGTATCTTCCCAGGTACTGATGTTAGGCTGATTGGTCTGTAGTTTCCTGGGTCTGTTTTTTTTTCTTTTTTGAAGATGGTAACTACATCAGCTCTTTTCCAATCCTTAGGTAATTCCCCGATGCCCCAGGATGTATATAGCATGTGTATATGTGTGCTATGTATGGGTATGGGTAGATTATACTTTCTTTTGAGAGCAGGCAACAGAATTTTATTTTTAATGTGGGCCAGTGTGCTCACAATAAAAAATGACAATAAAGACAGGTATTCTCTTACCATTTTCTTGCTTATTTTAATTTTTATTTCTAGTCTGTCTTTTACAGATGTTTTTCGTAGGTTGGCTATAGTTTCTTTTTGTATGAAGGTTGATGCAAAGAATGAGTTAAGCATCTCTGCTTTCTCTCTACTGTCTGTTACTTTCTTGTCATCTTCTCTGTCAGGGCCCACTTCAATACTTCATCCTAAGAAAGCAGAACTCATGGAAGCCGTTTCTTCCAAAAGGAACTTTTATTAGGAGAAGCTGAAAGCAGGCATGATAGACAGATCTGAGGGTTTCTTGCCCAGATCAATAGGTAAAAAGAGTCCCCAGCAATAGTTCATCCGGTCAGTTCAAATGGGCCAATCCCCAGGTGTTAAGTCCGTTGTGGGAAAACTCTGAGAGCATGAATCTGTCTCAGGCTCATAGTGATGTTTGTTGGGTCTTTCACACCTTCCCATCCGGTGTAAGAGATAAGCAAGGTAGTCGGAGGCACATTCCTTTCTCCCCCCCCATTCAAGCAGACTTCAAGGGGAAGACAGTTTAAAGAGCAAGCATGTAGAACAGCAAAGGTTACATTGTACTGATAGGAGAAACAAAGCGACAGCCCGCAGCATTTCCCCCCATCCCCTCCAGGAGTATGGCAGAACCCAGAAGCACAGAGAATATAAAAATATAGGTGAAAAGATTTCCCCCCCCCCCCAAATATATGGGTTCTGACATCCTGCCCTCCTTAAAAGAAAGAAAGATCCACCTGTGGGGAAGAAAGATACATCAAAGATAAATTAGTTTGGTTTGTTTGGGTAAGCCGTGTGAATGTTTTTCAGAAGTTTGGGGGCTCTAACATGACTTTTATGAACCCCTTCATTCTGAGAGGAAGGAAGATGTCTCCATGCTACAAGGTATTGGGTGGAGCCATGGTGTTTTCTAGAAACTAGTATTTCTTTGATTTCAAATGTTGTTCCCCCTTGACCATAATGGGAGGAGGTGGAGGAGCAACAGCTGGCCTTAGTGGTGACTGTTGCTCGCGTTTAAGGAGGCTACAGTGGAAAATTGGATGGATTTGTCTAAATGATTTTGGGAGTTCTAACTCCACAGTAATGGGATTTATGATTCTGATAATGGTAAGGGGTCCTACATATTTTAGTCCTAGTTTTTTGGAGGGTTGTAGGGATTTCAGGTACTTTGTGGACAGGTAAACCTTTTCCCCCACACTGAAAGGTTTGGGTTCGACCCTTTTTTTGTCTGCTTGTTTTTTATATGCTTCTCTAGCTTCATCTAGTGCTTTCCTAACTACTGGCCACGTATTTTTAAATTGTGCTAATCCACTCTTTTAGGGAAGGGATTTCTGGGTCCACAGAGGGGAGTTCTGGTATCAGGTTGAAACTTTGTCCTGTGGCTACTTGGAAAGGGGTGTAGCCCATGCTGGAGTGCACTGCGTTGTTGTAGGCGACTTCA